TTCCTCATCTAAGAATAACTACTGACTACACGTTACATGACTGAGAATCCTGTTAATTTAAATTGGATATGTGCCCTGAAATCATTCTATTTTATAACTTCACTTTTATAACTATCTTTTGTAACAGTTTGTTGGCCCGAAGGAAGGCAGTGGGACAGATCTAAGAATAGATCTAAGAATAGAAGAGGTCAGAGATTAGCGCTAAACACATGCAGCCACTCTTTTGTAACTCCTCTGATTGACAGCAGCTCTGCAGACAAGTATTAGCGTGGCTAATACCTACAACAGCCCCAGGAAAGCCACTTTACTGGTGATCCTTCCTAACTGCCTCCACAGACCTTGGCTGCATGACAATATTCTAGAAAATGTTTAAATCAGAAAGTGTTTCTCATATTATTTCAAGTTATCATAACATTTCTTGCAATTTCTTGCGATTGAAATAATTACATTTATTCTACACATTATTATTTTGTCAAACAGTATTATATAAAATAACACAGCATTATAATATATTCAAAGATGTTTGTGTTGTGTAGCAATTATTGTAATATATTGCATCACATTATACTGTGTTTAAATGATATTTTATATTGCATTATGTGATGATGTTGATCTCCAAGAGGACAAAATGAAAAACTGTGCTAGACATCATTATAATAAATTTAAATATATCTTTAGCACATTATTTTAAGTAAATCCTATTGTAAAATGTTTGTATTCCTACTGTAGTATTGTCATTGTGGCACCCATTATATTGAGCTGTCTTATATACCGTTGCCCATCAAGTTGGAATAATTTTAGTTTTCAGACACATTCCTCTTTTTGTTTCTATTTATACACATCAGTAATCCCTTTGACCAGGTAAAATGATTACATACTGAGTCCCAGTTACCAGGTGAAACCAATTCTGACGTCCTGCCCATTGACACCATCAACAAGCTTGTGGACAGTATGGCACAATGTCTGAACACTTTGATCCGTGTCAGGGGTGGCCAGACTCAATATTAGTGACTGAGGGACATTTGAAAGAGTGATATTGGACATTTTTAGGCATAAAATCCCTTCGAATATGTGTTTCCTGGTAAATTGACCAAGGTTGAAATATTGAAACAAAACCCTTAACCCTATTGTTCTATTCCCCCAATTTAGTTTAAGCCTGAATATATAGTTTGTAAAAGTTTGTAAAAGTTAACTGTGGTTTAATTTTTATTGTGATATGTATTGTATGTATATTGTGAGATCAATAAAGTTTTGAGAAGATATACACTTTATCTATCAAGAATAAATCCCATTGTCACAATCATTTCATGAGAAGAGGGAAAAAAAAACTTTATTCCAACTTTATGGGCATGATATTGTAACCTGCCTGATCAGATCTGATATTCAGAATTTTTCTGATAATTGGTGGCATTCTTTTTTTTAAAGCAATTCCCGAAAAAATTAATTCATTTCAAATTAGTCATTGCTCTGTGATCTTAAGCAATGTCCCTCCCACAGCACTATCGTATTGGTTATATGGCAGCAGTAATCGTCTATCACCACTGAAGGATGAATGAACTCGCAGACTGTGAGGAAATATTTACTGTAGTCACAGAATATAACAAAAAGTTGACTGGATTAGAATTCCACACTCCACCTTTAAAATGATCAAGCACTCACCCTGTAGAAGAAGTTGGAGCGACCCACAGTTCCAATTTTTCCAATGTGGTTCATGAAACACAGGTTTCCCTCAGTGGAACCGTACACTTCACACATTTTAATGTTCCCAAAGCGACTGTGGAACTCCCGCCAGACATCCTGCCGCAGCCCATTACCGACTCCCATCCGCACTTTATGAACTTTATCCACCTCTGTCTGAAATAAGGAGAAGGATGTAATTACATGAGTAGAACAGATCTAACAGGGGATATCTCTCAATGTGTAAATGCTTCCAATTCACATCCAGCTCATTCTATATACTCAGTGCCCATGAAGACACAACATACAAACTAAACTTTATTTTCTTGTACAGGAAATACAGTTTTGTTTCATTTATGTACATTAACATCTCAGTCGAGGCTGATTCAGACCTACATACATGGGCTCGATGCTGGCCAAAGGTGCATCTACTAAATACTGATTTGAAGAGGGTCAATACTCACTTTTTTTTTTTTTTTTTTTACATTTTCTATTTTTAATTAATGAACATTACTTAGTAAAAAAATCTGCTTTCACTTTGAAATGAAAGAATTCTGACGATGTTAAAAAGCTTTAAAAGGGGAAAACCTCCAAGGAGGATGAATGCTTGCACTGTAGCACAAGCACTGTAAAATGACCACACGCTTGCTATCCTACTGTCCCTGTTTTTTTGCATAAGTAGTATTCTACATAGAGATATGTAGTCCCATTCAGAGGACTTGTAATCCAAATATGTTAACCATAGAAAGTTTGTTCATGATGACAAAAATTGAAAAAACAAAACAAAACAAAAAAAGGCACAAAAGTAAGCCAGACTACCTGATCCTGGACAGCAAAACTTTGGATTTCTAAATTCAGATCACTGATCCAAATGAAGCTCTTTGGACAATGGGGCCCTGCTGTGTTTGTGTCCTCAGTGATGACTTCTATGATATTTTCCCTGTTTTCATTATGATCATAATGCACATTGACAGCATCCATGCAGTAATTGTTATTCACACTTGTTTGCACACAATGAGCTGTGAAAAGATGCTTATGTGAAGTACGTGCTCACATCTTTAATTCGCCAATCAGTGGTGAGGACAGTCATGGCCAGCATTCCGCCCACACAGTCAAATAACAGAGGGAATATGGACAAAGAGGACTTTGAGTTCAGCCTCAAGAAGCAACGAGCTCGGGCCTCACGCTCTGTGTGTGTGCACATTTATGTGTCCATAGTAGGAGGACACAACTCCTACAACAAAGCCACTGCTTGTTTTTCTGCCATAGTTGTGAACACTGTTACTTGAATGATTCATAAGCAGCAGTGACTATGAAGCGCTCTCGACTGCTGCAACTCCAGCTCACTTGCTGTGTCATTCATTAAGTAGCAAAGTTGTTGATTATCTGGATGCTTTTGTTCTGGTACAACTGAGTAACAAGACATAAGGTCATGCTGAGATAGAACCAGTAAGCAATGGAATAAGAAGCACATTGAAAAAAATACAAAATAAAGGGTAGAAAAAATATTAACATACTTCAACAACTGCACAGAAAGAAATAATTTACTAACAAGATATGCTGAGAGTTGACATTATTATCTTGTGGACAAGATAATAATGTTAGTAAAACAAAGTATTTCAAAAGGTATATTTTCCTACTGGAGTTCAGAACATTACTATAATTTTCATTTTGTCATCCTTTTATATCGCATTGTGCGAGAAATAAACAGTTTTGATTCTGCCAACAGTCTGTTTGGAGATAAGTATGATAACATAGTTATTACTAGCACACACATATGATTACCTTCGGCTGGTTACAGAGGTATCTGCAGAGTTCACCAATATACTGGAAAATAGTCACATGATGTGTTCTGCAATCATTCCAGAACTGGGAGGCTGAGAACTTCTTCTTTAAGACGCAGGTCGCACCTGCAAACACAAATTTAAGAAAAAAATTATTTAATTCACAGTTATAGGAAAAATATCACTCGGTATGTTTACTCCATATATTTATGAATATAAATATAGACTTTCAAGCACACCTTGTGACTGACACTTATTTCTACTGTATATTTTGTAAATTTGTGATAACAAAGGCAAGTCATGTACTTTAACAAGTAGTGCTGTGGAGTACAAGTGACAAAAGAGATTGTGTTGGTGGTTTAAATGGAAACACTTCCTACTGCACATTGCGGTTGCTTACAAGACTTACAAGGATCAAAACAAACACCATTTTGATGAATCTGTGTGATTCTGACTGATAAGCCTCACTGTAAGTTATTTTTATGATTTTATTTCTGTGCAGGACGCATACAAATTCACTAATATACACATTTGTAAATGTGACCACATGAGACCTTATTCAGAGATGTTAAAAATTGCATTGGTCTGTTCAGGTCATGGGCCACAGTGCACCTGTATTTCCTCCAGCACTGGTTATATCAACTACTTGATGTGCAGTTTGCCAAAAAAGTGACACAACATTCATTTGAGGAAAACATTTCAAGCCAAACACGTGTTTTCAGCCCCATGGACTTGAACCCAACAAAATGACAGCAGCTAGGATGGAACAAATGTACTGACCTCCCTGAATGGGTGCACACACTCCAAACAGAGGTGGAAACATTGGTGTGTTTACTCATGTACGCTCAGCAGAACACATTGTGCCACACTGATGTCTTTCAAAAACTGGGGGACAAAGTGTCAAGTGTGGTATCCTCTTTGGCCTACTAAAATAATCTATTGCAAGAAGCAAGAGCACCACATGTGCCAATGTTATCTTATGGTAGAAGTTCAAGGACAGCTTAATAGACGTTGTTTACCTTCAGTCTAGAGTTGGGGTGATAGGCCAAAGACAATTTCACTGTATTTTCTTTTGTCTTTTCTTTCATATTGATTTATTTCCTAAACCTTAACAATAACATTTGATATGATTACAGAGTAACAGAACACATACAGTATGTCTGATAGAGTTCAATGACACACACATTATGTGCTTTGACGAGTCTGAATATAAACATGTTGTTTAGGAGAAGCTTCCTCTGTGGTGTCCTGCCATAGACGTCATGCCCTTTCAATGATTTATGTATGAGAGACTCATTAACAGCTCATTGACTAACCAACTCCAATGATTCCTTTGAGCATCCATCTGTTACACTGAATGGCCTGAGCTGGCCACTTCGATGTAGAAAAGCAGCAGAGCCACATCAGTTCCTTCAATAGATCTTTCTTTTTTTTTATTACCAACTGCTAAATATTCAACCTGAGATACATTTGTAATCCCTACCAGCTTCAGGTAAATCAACAGTTCTAATTTTGTGATGGCCCTTTTCTTTCCCTACAGATTGGTTGGGTTGAACCTGGTCTAATGAATACGGGACCACGAGGTTCATGTTAAGTCTAAAGGCTAGACGCAAAAACTAAAAATGTGTACAGGGTTCAATATATTTCAACATATACAACTGTAAGGACATCGACCTTACTAAGGTTGGTTTGCACAACATCTCTGGATGTGGGTCTCTACCGGTGAAGGACACTGAACTGTTAACTTTGGAAAAAGTTGGACCAGATGCACAAATCAATGAGTCCTCAATAAGATCACAGATTCAAATTTGTTGCATTTCCTTTTTACATCTGTACCATTGCTGTTATGTTTATGCTAAATCAGCTGCTAAAGTACTAAAATGTCATCTAAACCTACATGTTAAGGCTCTGAACACAGCAGCAATGACCTGAAAACAATATCAATATTCATAATCATTGAGTGTCAACTTCCTGCTTTGAGGCCTCTAATTAAGCTGCTTGTTGAAGTGAAAAAGCAGGTCCTCAAATGGGTCACATAGCTTGGCAGTTACACTGTGTGTAGTCCTGAATACAGTTTTGCCAACAGAATTGCGTCTCTGTATCTAACGCAGAATTCTGATCCATTAATGAGTAAAAGCATGTCCATGGGCTACACTCATGTAATAAGGACAAACACCTCCATACCACCACATTGTTGTCCATCATGGTCCTTTTAGTGTATATTATTATGACACATCTTTTGAAATTCAGTCAGTATTGGGACAGACTTCATTTGTTTTAATAATTTTCTTTTGCCTTCTTCTTCTGTGCTCTGTACCCACTTTGAGTGCTTACTAACCCTTTCTACTTAGGAAGCCCCTTTGATAATTTTATGTGACTATGACAACTGAGGAAAAAAATACACAGTACATGGATCTGAATACATAACTCAAATTTTCATTTCGCATTTATCAAAGTACAAATATTAAAAGAAGATTAATGCTTCCTTGATAATAAATCCTACTGACTTTGGTGGTCCTCTGGTTTTCCCTGTCATGTTTCAACAACTACTTGCCATAAAATCTGGTATAGGCATTCATGTTCCCCTCAGATGATATTTGACCTGTCCAGGATGTACCCTGCCTTAACCGCCGCCTCCCGTCTATCTGTCTCTATCTTTAAATGTAACCTTCCATAGCCAGATGAACTTCCACAGCACATCGTGCAAGTTCATCATTCTGCTATAGGTGGGAAAAAAATGTCTGCCTTGTCTTTAAACCAATCATAATTGTATTGGGCAGAGTTCAGGCAAGGATGTAGTGATGGTCCCCCAACAAATAGTGACAGAGGATTTGTTATGGAAGAACATTTGCATGCAGAGGGGTAAGTACTAATATTAAAATGACTAATTCACTAAAAGAGCCAAGCAGACGTGCCTTTTGCACAATTTGTTGCTTTTTCCTGCAGCGAAGGGGATTTTGAAAATGGCAGCAAGCAGATAGTGGAAATGGAAGATAAAGCTACATGAAATTCATGTCAAAGTCTACATTTGGTGGGTAAGGCTATTTAAAATGCAAATGAGCTGCTGCTGCCAAAAGAAGACGTGGTGAGAGCAGCAGCTTGGAAATTGTTCAAAAATATATAGAAACATAAATAAGCATAGCTTTATTGGGAATTTGTATTAAAATGCAGTATATGTGAGCACAGGTAGCAGGAGAGAAGTAAACAGATGTAAACACTGCCTGAGTTTAGGTGGCATTGAAGCACAACAAGTGGCATGAAAACCAGTCACACACACTGTACTAGATTATTGGTCTCATAACGCTCTTAAAGTTTCCATCATCACTGAATATCCCTCAGCATTACAAATAAGACAAAGTTTTAACCAGTGGGCATGTGACCAAAGTTCACTCTAACATTACCTGCATAAGGTGGAACTTCCCTATTGTTGACAAAGAACCCTCTTGTGGTCATTCTTGCACCTTCTTATTTTATATATGTATTTATTTTATATCACTGAGCTTGTGCAATAAACGAAACACAAGTGAAATGCGTTTTCATTTTTTGATGGTGGTGGTGGTGGGGATGTGTATTTTAGTTGTGTGTAAAAGCCCATATAGTGACAAGAGTTTCATGCTCTGTATTGGAACTATGATAAACGTCACCATCATTGCCAAATGAAACAAATTCAAATACCTAAGTGTATGGTTCCTCCTATACCGATCATCGATGCTGCACTGTGGTAGAGAGGCAGAGGGATGTAAATCACTTCATCTTCAGTCGCCCCAAAAGCCCAAAAACCTGCTGCAGCCTTCAAACTCTGGAGGTGAGTGATCACTGCAGCCTTAGGGAGCCCTGTGAGTAAATAAAAAAACACCACATAAAATTAAAATGCACAATACAAATGTCATGCTCTCCGTGTCCATTCAAGTGTAGTGCTACAGTGCATCCGGAAAATATTCACAGCGCTTCACTTTTACCACATTTTGTTATATTACAGCCTTATTCTAAAATGGATTAAATTCATTTTTCCCTCAAAATTCTACACAAAATACACCATTATGACAACTTGAAAAAAGTTTTTCTGAGATTTTTGCAAATGCATTAAAAATAACAAACTAAGAAATCATATGTACTTAAATATTCACAGCCTTTGCTCAATATTTTGTTGATGCACCTTTGGCAGCAATTACAGCGTCAAGTCTTTTTGAATATGATGCCACAAGCTTGGCACACCCATCTTTGGGCAGTTTTGCCCATTCCTCTTTGCAGAACCTCTCAAACTCCATCAGGTTGGATGGGAAGCGTCAGTGCACAGTTATCTTCAGATCTCTCCTGAGATGTTCAATTGGATTCAGGTCTGGGCTCTGGCTGGGCCACTCAAGGACATTCACAGAGTTGTCCTGAAGCCACTGAAGTTTGTTGAGGTCGTTGTCCTGCTGAAAAATGAACCATCACCCCAGTCTCAGGCCAAGAGCGCTCTGGAGCAAGTTTTCATCCAGGATGTCTCTGTACATTGCTGCATTCATCATTCCCTCAATCCTGACTAGTCTCCCATTCCTGCAGCTGAAAAACATCCTCACAGCATGATGCTGCCACCACCATGCTTCACTGTAGGGATGGTATTGGTCTGGTGATAGGCGGTGCCTGGTTTCCTCCAAACATGACGCCTGGCATTCAGGCTGAAGAGTTCAATCTTTGTCTCATCAGACCAGAGAATTTTGTTTCTCATGGTCTGAGAGTCCTTCAGGTGTATTTTGAAAAACTTTAGGTGGGCTGCCATGTGCCTTTTATTAAGGAGTGGCTTCCGTCTGGCCACTCTACCATAGAGGCCTGATTGATGGATTGCTGCAGAGATGGTTGTCCTTCTGGAAGATTCTCCTCTCTCCACAGAGGAACGCTGGAGCTCTGACAGAGTAGCCATCGGGCTCTTGGTCACCTCTCTGACAAAGGGCCTTCTGCCCCGATCGCTCAGTTTAGACGGCCAGCCAGCTCTAGGAAGATTCCTGGTGGTTCCAAACCTCTACCATTTACGGACGATGGAGGTCACTGTGCTTATTGGGGCCTTCAAAGCAGCAACATTTTTCTGTATCCTTCCCTAGATTTGTACCTCGAGACAATCCTGTCTCTGAGGTCTACAGACAATTCTTTTGACTTCATGCTTGTTTTGTGCTCTGACATGTACTGTCAACTGTGGGACCTTATATGGGCAGGTGTGTGCCTTTCCAAATCATGTCTGGTCAATTAAATTTACCACAGGTGGACTCCATTTAGGCTGTAGAAACATCTCAGGGATAATCAGTGGAAACAGGATGCACCTGAGCTCAATTTTGGGCTTCATGGCAAAGGCTGTGAAAACTTATGTACATATGATTTCTTTTTTTTCTCTTTTTTTTTAATACATTTGCAAAAATCTCAGAAAAACTTTTTTCAAGTTGTCATAATGGTGTATTTTGTGTAGAATTTTGAGGGAAAAATGAATTTAATCCATTTTAGAATGAGGCTGTAACATAACAACATGTGGTAAAAGTGAAGCGCTGTGAATACTTTCCGGATGCACTGTAGGGAGCAAATAGTCATTCAAAGGACAAGTAAGGACTTAGTTTTGTGTATGTGAACTTCAGACTATCCAAGTACAATACTAGACACCTGGTCCAATACGAAAAGACAGGACTCACATCAGCAATTATTCTTTAGTCCTGTGAGATGCCAATTACACTAAACTATCTCTCTCAGGGTTTCCTCTCACTCTGTCTTGCCCCTATTTTAAAAGCTCTAACTCTGTTTTAAAGTCATTCTTCAGGTCACAGTAATGTGCATGCGATGGAAATAGTGGAGATTTCCTATTAATGGTAAAGGGTAAATGGTCTGCACTTATATACCGCTTTCTACCTTGGTGGTACTCAAAGCGCTTTACAATGTTTTCTCATTCACCCATTCACACACACACATTCATACAACAATGGCGACAGAGCTGCCATGCAAGGTGCTGCCTGCCATTGGGCTGCCAATGTCTTGCCCAAGGACACTTCGACTGTGGAGGGGTGGGGGATCGAACCGCCAACCTTGCCATTACTACCTGAGAGAAAAGAACCAAATGGGAAAGAACCAAAATGCATGTTTTTGTGTGACAAAGACGCATAGAAAATTCAGAGATGTAGGGATGATTGGAAACTCAAGACTACCATGATGTATACATAGTCTCTACAAGCAAATTTTTGTTCACAACTGTACACTCATTCCTAATGATGTGTTGGAGGAATGCTGGCTCCATAGTGACATGCAGCCCTTCATTTTAATATTAATATTACATTTTAAACCTGTCTCTCAAAAAAAAAAAATAGCTTTGAGCTAATAATGAGAGAGAACTCTCCAAATACTGTCTCATGACAGAGCAAATGAAAAACAAGGCTAATTGATATTAATAATAATATTAATGGTGTAACAAATATTTATTCAGTACAAATAATGATCATAATTTTGTCATCTTCATTTTACTGTACAGGGCTGTCTACACCAGAAGGAGGTCTTAGAATCCCCATGAGAAGCTGGAGGAGTGCTGGGGAGCATGTGACCTGCTCTGTTTACACGGTTACCAACACCACCATCACACACACAGGTGCCTATTCAACAGTTGAATGGACGGATTTCTTTGCCAAGAAACAATGTAAAGTTACAGACATGACATTCCTCACACTACATATATCCTGAATAATAGACTTGCACAATACAATGTATACATAAGGTCTACATAACATTTTTATCTACAAAATTCCTGTTAACCGCGTCATTTCTATTTGTCAAAGGTGCTGTCCAAATACATTAGCAGACATATATTTACACATTTAGCATACAGAGCAACACTACCAGTGCTTCTGTAAACAGAAACAGGGTGACCAGAGCAAAACTCTGACATAGCCTCAGCATAGTATCAGTGCTGTCCTGTGCTGATTTCCAGACAGTGTTCATGCTGTAGAAGACAATCCTTGCTTTGTTGAGTCTGCTCTGAATGTTGCTGCCAGTGTCTCCATCTTGACAAATGATAAAGCCCAAATAAGTGACTGTCTATCACTAGCAAGTCCTCTTCCTCCAATGTGATTGGTGCTGGATCTTGGCATTGAGAGTCATGACCTCAGCCTTCATCCAGTTCATTATAAGTTCAATTGTTTGAGCAAAGTTGAATACAGAATGCATAACCCAGTCCATGACAAAGGGCAAGCATGGTAGACATAAGAGATTGTTGCATTTTCTTTCAAACTAATCTGGCCACAGACATCTGGATTTGGTGCACGTATAAGACACCGATGGCAGAGCTATTTTGCAGGCTGTGAAGAAGAGGTGTAGAGGCAGCTCTCCGTGGTCTATGCACTTAGTCATACACCTTACTTCTTTGCTTATTTTCTACAACCCCTGGCTTCTCTGACACGCACTCTCAAACACAGAGGTAAGAATTTTGCCTGCACTAGCTGCCTCCTCCAAATGCCATGAAACACCCTTGGCTTGCATCATCAGTTTATTGTTAGACATTTTGAATTTTATAGTTTAAGTATAAGTCTGCCAATTTATGCACTGCCCCATGATGTTACACAGAGCAGTGAATTCACTTCGTTAGAGATGCACTACATGATCTTCTTTGTCACGATCTTTATTGGTATTGATATGACTGTTGAACAATCACATTTGAAAGTAAAGTCAACGGCTTTAATCCAACACAGCCTTTGTCAAATTCAGCGAATATCTCCTCACTGTTCACCAGCTGTCTGTTGTGTGTGTGCACTGAAAAAAGATCTGGCATTCATCCAAAGTTCTACCTCTGTGAATGGGGAAAAAGAAGTGGCTTGAACCATCCATCTATCCATTTTCTATACATTTTTATTGCGGTGGAGCTGGAGCTGATCTCAGCTGCCTTAGGGCGAAGACAGGGTTCACCCTGGTAGGGCACCAGTTCATCACAGGGCTACATAGAGACAGACAACCAAGCACGCTTACATTCACACTTATGGACAATTTAGAATCACCAGTTAACCTCAGCATGTCTTTGGACTGTGGGAGGAAGCCAGAGCATGCGGTGAAACACAGAGAGAACACACAAACTCCACACAGAAAGATCCCAGGCTGAGATTTAAACCCAGGACCTTCTAGCTTTGAGGGGGCAGCGCTAGTTCGCCCTGGCTTGGACCAATCCACAAAAACTATTCCAGTGTGTTCCATGCACCTTTGGAGCTGGGTCGTGGAAGGTAAACACAGCCACTGCTTCGAGGACTTGGGGTTACTGGTGTTGATGACGGGATGGAAAAGCACCCTATTTCACTTTTCTACACAAAGTCCATCCTGCGGTTCTTGGGATTGAACTTGTGGCCCTCTGATTACAAGCTTGCTTCTCTGACTTGAGGCCACTACTAATCAGTATCCCTACATTACAAGAACACAGTGGCTATCAGTAACATTGTACAATATACCCTGCAACCCCCTTTTACATGACATAACATTGTCTATTCATTTTTTTGTCTAAAAACTTGAGACAGTTTCTATGGCTGTAGAAAAACACAGACTCACCAGTTGTTCCCGAGGTGAAGATGTAGAGGGTGGCAGCCTTCACAGAGGTGGTGGCACGCAATGCTGCTGGTACAGGCTTGTCAGATGCAGCATCAAGCTTGTCCAACAAGGTGTGCACCTGTGTGTGCTCACTGTGGCTCTTCATGGTCCACACCTGAATGTTGTCCTCCACCAGGCCGGTTAGGATGCCATCCAGACTGTCCACTAAATCTGGGAGATAGAGCTGTATTTAGTGATAGGCCCACTTGGAGTAATAGTTTGCAATCAGTTTTTCTACTAGTTTGTTTGCTTCCCCTTCTAATCTAGCTGCCGGCTGACTTAGAAGGGGAAATTCTTCTGTGCAGCTTTGGTTCTATGCTTCAGGTCATTGTCTTGCTAGAAAACAAATATTTCCCCAAACTTGCATTTGGTAGCTGTTGATGGGAATTATCAAAACGCAGTTCAAAGAGGTGTCAGTACATTTGCCAAAACAAAACATCCATAACAGTGAGATAAGAAAAAGCTTCAGAGGCCAAGTCAGCAATATGGTACGTTCACAACAAGACAGAATGTATTGGTGAGCTCAGCAAGACCAAAAGGTGGATGATTGCAGAATTCTTTCATGGATAAAGAAAATCCAACAACATCTACCAAAGTGAAGTACACTCCTAACGAGGTATCATTGTCAAAGTCTACAACCGAGAGACACCTTTACGAAGTTAAACCCACTGAAATAAAGCTGCAAGTCTGCATTTCAGTCACATCTTGAATGAGTCATTTCAATTCAACTGTGGTGCTGTGCAAAGACAAAAATCACAAAAAATGTGTCACTGTCCAATTATCGGTGACATTTGTTTTCCCTGCTGGGTCATTCCATTTCAAATCATCTCATTTCTAGAACACTTTCTGCTCAACCATCTTGGATTTGCCTCAGATTTTCATAGCATAAAACATGGATGTTCAGAAAGATATTTGTGAAAGTTTAGCTTGATATATCAAATACTAAAACTGTTGTTGCTTGTCGACCCACTTTTAGCATATTTTTTTTGCACATTCAAATTGGAGATGATGTTGAAACAGCAATATCTCAGGAACTATTAAAGACGAAATTTTAATACATTTTCACACCTGAATGTTCTGATCATTCCATTGATTTAGAATCTGCAAATCCATAGATCTGTGGTAATACTGGGATTCTTCTAGTGGGAATTTTCATACCTTGATAATCATTTTTGTCTTATGACTCTTTGGATGAAGCTATCTACCAATACATTTGTTTTATTGATGCAACTTGTCATACCTGCTCAATCAGTCATGAAAGTTCAGCAAAAATCATTTTATTTTCACTTTTGTGACCAAATATTTTCTGTTAAAAAGTATTCTGTGTTCTGTTTTGTATTATTGTGCCATGCAACCAAATATGGTTCAGAAAATATCACTAGTTGACTCCTGTATTATCACTATTTTTGTTATTAGGTGCACAAAGATGAGACTTTTCATGACAGCCTGATTTTTTTTCATATTTTAACTCACTTATAATCAGAGACTATTTGATCCACTTGTCCAGAATTGCAGATTCTGCATCAGTGGCATGATGATTGAAGATAAATTAACCCTGCTGTGAGCTGAAAAAGAGGCCTGTGTATGTAGGCTGTATTGGTACCCAAGACAGTTTTAAAAGTTTAAGAATCGCTGTTCAACCTTTAGAACACTTCTTCTACACTTCTTTTTTCTGACCTTGCCAAGGCCACCTAAAGCCGGTGAGCTCAGTTTTTGTTCTACAACGTTTGTCTGTTAAAATTCATTCAGTTGACAGGGTGCTTTGTTCTCTTGACTAAGATGCCAATTTATCCAAACAACTGTCACAAACAAGACGGACAATTCAATAGAAAGTTAAATATTTTGCTGACACTTCCTATTGGAGCAGTGCCCATATGTGGCACCACTTTCACTCTAATGACTCTAATGTCTGCTCCAACTATTCCATGAATCCTTCTTCTGTTGCATTGCGGTTGTATTTAGGACAGTGACCCGACCAACATCATGCTTGTTCGGTTGAGCAATGATCTGTCATCCTGTCACATGATTGCAGCATGGTGAATCCTATTAACTGTGCAAACAGGATTCTTCCAGTGAAACATGGGTGGAAGCTGAATATGGTTCCACAAACGCCTATATTGTATCATTCCTGTGGACAGCAGAAATTTTGAAAGATGCAAAAGCATTGCGCGAGCAGCTTTTTTGAACGTCAAAGTTGACTCTTACAATGATTAGTCAGAGCTGACACTGGACTGAACCCAGCTCACAGCTGATCTGAAAACAACAGTGACCTGCAAGACATTTGGAGATTGTAGTATGCAGGGTAACAAAATCAAGAAGCATGCTGTGTCTTTGAACTGTATATTATTTAATGGTCCTATCACATCTTTAGTTGGGGTAAAGAAAAAGTTCACACGTTGCCTCTGTAATGCTTTGTAGTGTTCTGCTCTGCAAACTGTGTTGCACAGTATGCCAATACTTTGAAGGTATCCTAAACCCTGAAGTCAAATGTCACATTTTTCCATTTTTTTTGTATTTGTACTTCAAGAATGACAGTGTTCTAATAGAAGTCGTATTTTCTGCATTGCTTCAAGGTGCAACAGCAAGTCAGTGTGCAGGACTCTGCTTCTACTACCTGCTTTTCTTGTATATGTGCACTGCAGCAGCTTTCATGGTGATAAAACAAGAGGCATGCCGACAAACACAAGTGTACTGACTAGCTTTCCACAGATTGTATATCAAATAGAGGCGTAAAGCAAACCACAGTGTTATTTCGCTAACAGCCAACTGTCAGGTCAAGCCCACAGACACTACAAAGCCTGTCTTTTCACTACATAGTTAATGGAGCCAATATGCCAAATGACACATAGAACCTCCCAGACAGACATGATTTGTGAAAGGATTGAAAGAGCAGCATGTTAACAAATGTGATTGATATGATGATTACATCCATCCATTATCTATACACCATTGTATGGAGTCAATCCCAACCTTCTTGCTGCAAGGCAGCGATGCTAACCACCGAGCCACCTTGCAGGCCATGATGATACCCTCAAATATGTCAAAAATTTATTTTGTGACAAGCAAACGTTTTTCACTACCAAAGTTTGAAAAGGCAATAATGACCGTTTAATTTGGCTTCTTTTTAGGTAACCTACCAATGTGACAAACATCTCTGTATATAAATGTACTGTTCCCACTGGAAACATGATGTCAAGTTGCTGCAGGCTGCTAAAAAAAAAATCAGGCAGATCAACAACAGTAGTTATAGTGATAAGTAGGTGATTAGAATGTGCACTAAAGTACTGCTGCACTTATTTCTGCAATGACTGAACCTTTTATAGGTAGCTGCTCTTCATGAAGAGTTAATCCAGTTATGGTTGGATATGAAAATATATCAACACACTCTGGTACAACAAGTCACTCCTGTTGTTTTATGACTTTTTCTCACTTCCTCTGCTGGGCTGCTAAATATTTTCATATGATTGAAATAATAAAGTAAAAACAAATCATATTCTAAGCTTAATGTTCTATAACATTTTAGGTTGTTTTCAGGTTTTTTGCTGTGGCATCATTCCAGTATCTGTATCCATACCTTTACACAGGTGTCCTATTAAAGTCAGAATATTGGGATCACGACAATGTTTTTGTCTATTTTTTGTTTATAATCAAAATTACGTTCCAAGTTTATTGTCTATATCCTGTTTATAGATATATTCTACTTTCTTCTATTTTCTCTTTTGCTATTTCTGTACTTTTATACTTTTGGTCATTTTGCATCGTGGGGCCTCAGAGAATGGCAATTTCAGTTCTCTGTGTGTTATACATATGGCAAAACTGACAATAAAGCTGACTTTACTTGACTTGACCACTATTTGCTAAGTCTGACAAACTGTAAACAATCGAGGTAAAAACCAGCACCTAAAAACTGAATGAAAAGCGGCATTTTTGAGCCACATTTAGCAGGGACATTACTATCACATCAATACTGGAAGTTGAGCAATTAGTTGACCAACAGAAAACAAGTCACCAGGATTTATAGACCATGTCTAATTTTAGATGTATATTATGGAAGAATATGTATCTTGCTTCCCAGTTTTCTCTGGTTTACTTTCTGTTTGCAGGCACTTGGTTTGACAAAAACACAATTTTGACTTTTGAAACTTCTGAAAGCAATTTGAACACATCTCACTGAGAGAAGTTTTTCTATTTTCTGATATATCATTGAGTAAATAACAACAAATTAATCACTGAAAAAGTATTTGGTTCCAGTCCTACTGTACACTGTTACTGTGACAGCGTTCACTAAATAAGATCTACAAAAAGAGCCTTCCTTCTGAGGAATGCTATACTTTCAGTGCAGCAATATCATCTAATGACAGTATTTTTTTTTACATCTATGGGGATTTAAAAATACCTAAATAAAGGACAGATATTCAAAAACGGCAGCACCTCACACTGGAGAAAGTGACACAACAGACTTGTCGGATCAAATTATGTGCACAGAGTAGTTTAAGCGAGCCTCACCCTACTACAACAACAATCTGCTTTTGTATCAGTATTAATAATGTGATAAAGCTTCACACATAAACCTACATGCAACACTCTGAAATTGGCCATTCTTTAAAATTAGTATCTTCTATTTCTCTAATGCACCCACTCCAGCCGGTAGGTGGTGCTAATGGACCTACAGCTGGTTTTCAGCCACAAAGAAGATGCACAGGATGCACTGAGTGATGTCAGCACACAAGAAAGTTTGGTGAACAGTGATGAAGAGGAGCCCTTCAGTTTTATTCAGAATACCTTGATTGATATTGTCTTCCACTTTTATATATACATATATATAATTTTAGTATCATTATCTCCTTTATTTATTTATTTATTCATTTTTATTTACCCATCTTTATGCATTTATGTCTTTCAGCTGTGTTCTGTAATGTCTGAATGTTTGTATATATCTTAATCCTACTATTATACTATTCACTGTTGAACTTAAATAAAGATTGAAAAAGAAAAACAAGTGTTGGTGGAAGATGCAGGGAGGATTTTGCCAAATTTGCTTAAAGTTAAAATCAAGTCTGGTTTATGCAAATGAGCTTGTGGCGACGCTCCAGAACACGTTTCGCTACTCAATGAATGGGAAGAAAGAAAGTGACAGATCCTGCAGCATGAGGCAGCTCAGAGCATGGTGATGTGCAAACTGTGCAACAAAGAGTTTGAAGACAAAAAAAAGTCTTCAGGTGTTGAATAAAATCACTATAATTGCACTTTGGGTTTGAACTAATCTGTGAAAGTAGTAGACAGATGAAAAATGCAAATAACTATAGATTTTTGTTGTTAAAGCTGACGTATATGTCTATGCATTGATTTAATCACCTAAAACCTATTGTAAATTTTTTAAAAGTTGTTTTTTGTGTCAAATATAGCTATCCGTTTTTTGTTTTTTTTTATGTGTTTAAGTAATTACAAAGCCTCTATTTTTTTTTAATCCCATCCCACCACTAGTATTTTCACTTTTGACACTTTACTTAATATAATATTGTTAGTGTGGTCATGTTACTTTTACTTCTGAACACATCTTCCCACAGCAAAGCATCTATTTACATGTGGGATGAAAACAGATCCACTCAGATGCTGCAGCATACAACGTAAAATATGAACACTAATAATCTTATAATAAGAACTAGTAATATATATGTGTATCAGCATACAGCTCAGTATATGAATAACGGAATCATTGTGGGATGGTGAGGGGCAAAATATGTCACTAAAGAAAAAATAATGTGAATAATCCCACCAGGGCTCAACCATTATTCCTCCCATCAGTTATTGAGCTGATTCTTCTCAGGATTTATTGATTAATCATTGGGTCAACAAAACAGTAGAAAGAGAAAACACTCTCCCCTACATCCTAAAGTCCAAGGGCTTCTCCTTTATGTCTTGTTCTGTAACAAATAAACGGTTCAAAACACTAAATGTACAGCTATGTAACGATAACTCCTGAAATAGTGACTGATTAACGGTGTCCTGTGGTGGACTAAGGATCGCTGCTCTGATTGATGTAACGGTTTAAATAACGAGGTTATCAAATAACCAGAGCAAAACGTGTTGATACACAAGCTGAGTGACAATAAATAAGTCAAAATATTAGGATTACCTGTGATAGGGTTAAAAATAAATTAAAAAAAAAAAAAAAAAGGTGCTTGCTCAAATGGAAACCTAAGGGATCTTTGGAGTTGTTTGGGCTTTCTGTTTAAAATCACATGTGTTGTGAACTGGAGCTCCATCAATAAAACTGAACTGAATTAATAGTAATATTGTTTAGGCCAATATTGTAATCATTATTATTATTAGTAGTAGTAGTAGTTACATTTTATAGGAGGGGTGATTGCGAGATATGAAATTAAAACCCCGACAGGGACAATAATAATAATAATAATAATAATAATGATGAAACTGAAGCCTGGATGTTTCGTCGCACACAGCAGAGGGAGAACAAACTGGAGGAGAGCTTTACCTGAACCAATAATGACAGTTTTGGCTCCGCAGCAGTTAAAGCAGTGCAGAAGGGACTTGGACTTGATGTTGATGTTGAGAAAAGCCACCGAGCAGCCGATCTTCGCCAACCCAAACCAAACGCACAGAAAGTCAGGCTCGTTGCTCATCAGCAAGGCAACACAGTCTCCTTTCCTCAGATGCACTTTTTCGAGGAAAACGTTGGCCAGCCTGTTGCTGCGCTGGTCGATGTCCCGGTAGGTGTGGACACTTCCCTCGTAGATAACAAACGGCTTGTTGGGGACCCGCTGCGCCTGCTGGATGAACCTGTCAAGGACCGTGCACACGCTGGATGTGAGCTTGAACAGCTCCAGCCTCACGCCGTATCTGATCACCCTGAGCAGAAAAATAAGGTCCCTCCAAAAGTATGGGAAGCAGAGTTTCTGTAAAACATGAGCGGAAAAAACACCCGCGGCCAGAGCTGAGAGCCATCCCAGAGTCAGAGCCATGTCTGCAGCTGGACACAGCGAGAGGACACGGCAGGAGAGTCAGAGAGGAGTGCTGCGTTCACAGCCCGCGCTGCGTTCACTGCCCACGCTGCCACCTTCTCCAGGTGATAACATCGGACTGGCCGTGACGTAAGCCAACGAGTTGTCTAACAACATAAAGCCACAGCACACACGGCTGACACACGATAAATGCTGCTTTCAAAGTAAGAGGGGACAAATTAACGCTGAGAAGTGGGTGATATCCATTAACAAACAGCAGCGCTTGAAAAAAAATTAAGAGAAAGTTATTATCAAAAATTAAAAGAAAAAAATAACACACTTATAAACACAAGCAATAAAAAGACGGAACCGTTATATGACATTTTAAGCATGTTAAGTAACACATGGCGTTTTATTTTGAAGGCACAGCTACTACATTTCCGGTATGAGGGCTTTCTTGCGGCGGCTTGACACATGACTCAGTAATGACATCATGTGACAGTTGTTGTGGAGATGGGCTGCCCGCTCTCATTGGAACAGAGACAAGAGAGCCTGTGTCCGGAGGGGAGCTCTCTGCCGAACAACATGACGTCTCTAAACAAATCTAAAAGTAACTGTATCGTTAAAGTTACAGACAGAACATGTGAATCAAACTAAAATGAGCATTAAAACATGCTAGTGGGTCATGATATTATTATGCCCATGGTGATAGCCAACTATTGAGTGATGGTGCCCTTGTGCTTGTGTGTGGGGTTTTTTTTTTGTCTTTTAACAGTCTAGAGCTTCACAGTAGAGGAGTTTGAACCTGAAACTTCATATATGTCCTCGGTATGGTCCCTTATCGGACTGATTAGATTCTGGGGTCCATACATGCAGTGGTGACCACTACAGAGGTCAAAGGTCGCATTCCCCAAAACAGCTCTGTATGACTGAAAATGCACAAAAAGACATAAGTTTAGGATACTGACTCAGGAAGACATCCGAGGTCTTTAAACTGGTGATGTAAAATATGACCTTGAGACAAAGGTCAAGGTCATGCATACATTGGGCAACTATGTCCCTCTACTGAGGCTCTCTAGTTAAACACTGAGTTAGTCGATTGTTAACAGTTAAGAGATTAGGATACTGGATAGAGTTAACAGCACATAAGTTAATGACGCAAAGCCTATCAATTGCAATATTGGTGCTACTGCCCTTTTCTAATTCTAAATGATCCCTGACATGGAGACAGGCCTGGTCTATCTAACTAGCTAGTTAGCTTGCTAGCTATCGCATTAATGGATCTGGCTATGCACTTCAGATAAATAGCAAATGTAAAATAAATTAACTGTAAGATTTGAAACTAAAGTATGCAACCCTTTAACTCTCATGCTGACATTGATTTCAGCATCTGACCACCCCTGTGATGATCTTCTGATTGCTGCTGATTGGGGCATGTGATTGTAAAGTGGGGTGAAGGTGGTGAAATGAGGATATCTATTTGAGGTTATAAGCTAGTAAAGTTAGCACAATAATAAGGCAGAGACAAATAGCTTTGTGATAGCGTTGACTATTACCTGACGATATTCTGTTGCAGCTCAACTAATGTTGGATTGATGGCAAAGGGAGAGAAGAAAGTAGGAGGATCGTAGTAAGACTGAAAACACAAGGTAAGTTTAAAGTGTGCCAGCTAAATGGGGAACCATATTAAACACTAAAAGTATGACACAAATGTAATATATAACTAAATGTATTCAATCTATCTAGCTGTCTGTCTCTTGTCAGTGTTCATTAGTAACTTGTGTATTTACTTCTTGATTACATTGCGTGTGTTTGGTTTTATGACTGTGAAGCACTTTGTAAACTTGTTTTGGGAAAGGTCTACAAATCAAGTTCAAGGGACAGGAAGAGGCTCAACAAGCTCATCAGGAGAGCGAGCTCTGTTCTGGACTGTCTGCTGGACTTCACAGAAGAGGTAGGTGGGTGAGAGGAGGATGTTAGTCAAGCTGACATCCATCATGGACATGAGGTCATTTCCTGGACTGGTTTTCAATTCACAGATGTGCCATGTCAAGAGTCCATCAATCCATCCATTATCTATACACCGCTTAATCCTCACTAGGGTCGTGGGGGCGCTGGAGTCTATCCCAGAGAACCCACGCTGCACGGGGAGAACATGCAAACTCCACGCAGAAAGATCCCGGGTGTCCTCACTGGGATGCAAACCGGCAATCTTCTTGCTGCGAGGCAACAATGCTTACCACCGAGCCACCTTGCAGCCCTTGTCAAGAGTCACTTTGTGGAATTACTTGTCTTCTTAATTTGTTTGAGGCCATCAGTTGTGTTGTGCAGAGGTAGCGTTAGTACACAGTGGATAGTCATATTTGCCTACTGTAGTAATCCATAGTATGACAGGAACCACTTAACTCAGTAAAGACAGACACAGTCTATCAATACTTTACGACATGAAGGTCAGTCAATCCGGAAAGTTTCAAGAACTTTGAATGTGTCCTCAAGTGCAGTCGCAAAAACCATTAAACAGTCTGATGAGACTGGCTCCCAGTAGCTAAGTACTCCTGGGAAAATGCAAAACATTCTTGGTTAAAGGCTATTCAAAACTAAACTGGTTCGTTAAAGGTTTGGAGATCTTGGCAGAGACACTGAAAACAGGCCACAGAATCCAATGGACTTCCTTGAAGGTGAGGGTGAACAATGCAGGGGAACCAGTCGAAGCAGGGATTCAAGCAAGTGTCTAAGTTGTCAGTCTGGCAGAGGGTGTGGTCTGAGGCAGGGTTTTATGCAGTCGAGGGGTAACTGGAGGAAGGTAAGCAGTCCCTGCACTGGTGTCTTGATTTGCTGCTGACTAGACAGCTGCTCAGTCAAACACACACCAATGTCATTAAAAATCATCTTTGAAAATCCATAACTGTGCTATCCCAAAAAAAGTGGCAAGGTAACAAACATGACTGTCACGTCAGATTAATTTGGGCAATTCAGGTTTGTAGACCAAATTCAATTAGTTGGAAGGTAATTAGTTTGGGCTGCTGTGGCTCAGGTGTTAGAGCGAGTCGGTCAAGGATCGGAAGTTTGGCAGTTCAATTCTGCCTGTAATCTGCATCATGGTCGTTGTGTCCTTGGGCAAGACACTTCTCCCACCTTTCCTGGTGTGAATGCGTATGAATGGATTGTCTGAGGTGGTGGTCAGAGGGGCCATAGGTGCAGAATGGCAGCCAAGCGCTATATAAATCTGATCAATTATTATTAACTGTAAAGTGTGCACAGAGGTTGACTATCATACAAAATTTAAGTCAGCTCACAGTCGTAACTCAGAACTGTCTATTCAGGTTAAAATGATTTAAATTGGCTGCAAGGTGGCTCAGTGGTTAGCACTGTTGCCTCACAGGGAGAGGATCCCCGGTTCACATCCCGGTTAGGATGCTCAGGATCTTTCTGCGTGAAGTTTGCATGTTCTCCCAGTGCAGCGTGGGTTCTCTGGCTTCCTCCCACAGTCCAAAACATGTTGAGGTTAATTGATGATTCTAAATTGTCCGTAGGTGTGAATGTGAGTGTGCTTGGTTGTCTGTCTCTAAGTGTAGCCCTGTGATAGACTGGCGACCTGTCCAGGGTGTCCCCTGCCTTCACCCTGAGTCAGCTGGGATAGACTCCAGCCCCCCTGTGACCCTAGTGAGGATTAAACGGTGTATAGATGATGGATGGAAGTCTAGAAGGCCCATATGAATATAATATTTTAAATCATTGATGTGTAAGGGGAGATAACAAGATGTCAGCCTAGCCACCAGCTAGAGGTTGCTTAAAATTAAAAACTAAACTATCTGTTTGTACCAGTAACCTGTGAGATCACGATGGGTCGTATTTTATGGGAGGGCACTCACTGTGTGTCTGTTAACTGCTCAACTACTGCACTGCTGAACGCTGTGAGTCATGGCTTTAGAAACATAAAGACAAGCAGTCATACAAGAAGAACTGGCTCACTAGTTTGTCCACTTTTTCTTCTTTGTAGTTTGGTTTGTGGGATATGCTGACACTAGGTGACTTTAAGACTACATGTTCTGGTAGCACAGCCACATTAGGTAATCCCACAGGACATTTTACATTTCCCTATTTTACTAACATCACTATAAATTATTTCCACAATTTTATTATTTAGATTTTATATTTTTCCTTTATCTTTAATTGTATTTTCATTGATGCCTTTTAGATATACTGAATGGCACTGAATTATTTGCTATAGTGTACTCTCCTACCTCACATACTACTGTATAAAGTTAAGGCTGTATATAGTTAGACACCATTATTTCTCACGCCCTCAGTACAAATATCTACACAATTCTCTATAGTGCAGCTTTTCTAATGCTTCTTGCTGACTACATTGCATTGGGTTAACTACTATGGATGTGGCAGGTATGGTTCAAAGACATTGTGCTACAGCTCCACTTTCTGTTAAACTGAAAAACTGCACATTACAACTGAAGTTTGTCACACTTTTTTTGTTGTAGAAGTAGCAGTAAAATACAGGAAATAGAACATTTTAATATAATATTAAATTCTTTTGAAATGGACAGCTTAAAAAGTGCTTCAGTGTTTCTTTAAAGAGGTTTCATCCTTCCTGACAGTCAGAGGAAATGTCTGTCCTGGGATGTTGGCCAGAACTGATGTTCAGATTATTTGGTCATTTGTGTGGTTTGCAGATCCAGTCTGAAACCTCTTGAACTGTTTGCAGATCTGTTGGGCTGCTCTGATAACGTGTTCTGTTTGACATCTATGAGTTAAAGTCAGGCCGTTATGATTATCCTGCTGCTGCCAAACCACACTAAACATTCTACTCCTTTAGGCTAATATACAGTCGTCCTCAAATGTATTCATACCCTCTCATTAAAGAAAGAAAAAAACAGCTGTCACTGAAATAAGTTGGAATTGACAAAAGTAATACTTGATAAAAATGTCATAAAAATCCTGACATTGCTTTTGAATTGTGTTTCAACAGAAAAGTATTTTAAAAAACAAAAAATATGCAAACAAGCATGATGGGACCCATAAACTAATATTTTGTTGAACAACCCTTTGAGCCAATCACTGCAATCA